CCTTTCGTCCGCATGGCCCGTTGTGACTTCGCTCACTCCAGCTTTTCACCGACTAAGTAGCTCACCCACCCCGGAGTCCCCTCCCCTTGAAAAATCCCGTTTCCTGGCTCGCCATACGTTTTTTGCACGTTTCGATGCTTTGGCAGCCGCTGCCCTCTATCCGTCTGCGTCACAGGGTTTCGTAACAGGACCATGCACAAAAGTTCAAGATGTCACGTAACCCAGCAACATGCTTACCTTGGCCAAACGCGCTATTTGTCTGTGCCCTCTTACTTCATTTCTCCCATTCATCACGCGAATGGCGAGGGTCGACTCGGCAGAGATTCCCATTGAACTTTTTATCAGAGAGTCGCGGAATTCGTGAAGGCTGTGGATGATCTACGCAAAACATCCGCAAAGCATTCACGAAACTTGCATTGCGGTTTCTGCTCAGAATTAACGCGTAAAATTCCCCGCAGTTTTCGGCATTTTGATGGACAAAACATCGATCACACAATACATGGAGCGAAAAACTAAACGTGTTCAGAAACCAAAACCCTTTATCTTCCAAATACCTGACACTTTTTCTGTAGGTCTGCTATAGAAATTCCCATCGCGGATTTTTGTGTAAAGTTTGCATCAGCTGCAACAAAGGAATCTCTTCACAATGTAGACCGCTTTCCCAGCTAAAAATTGCTGTAAACTTAGCAAATCTATCCGGCTTGTGGTAAATAGAAACTGAGGCACAGCGGCTGGTCTACTTCTCTGTGGAATACAGCACGTATTCGACTACCATAATCATAGTACAAAGCAGCCTTCTGAGCCAGCTGATGTTTTCCCTGGACTGTTCAGACAAATGTAGCTTTTAGCTACGGCATAGCTTTATTGAGTTTTGATTTATTTGTCGTGAACTCCTTGAAGGATCCAGGCTCGGCACAGAAGTGAAGACAAGCCTTCCATCCCCACAAACATTGTCAGCGCTTTGTTTATTTTTAACACCTGCACATAGACCACTTCACCTGGTGTGGAGCGCACAAGATTATGAGTATTACATTAAGCCAACAGATAATAGTCATTACAGTTTAAAGGCAGTTGGCACGATAAATCCCCCAAGGACGACTAGGATCAATACTCCCGGCAGGATAGAATTCCGCGACCCTGGGCAGGCGCTGCATAGCGGTTTCTCCGAGGGAGGTGCCCTTATAAGGGCCCTATCAAGCCACAACATTTACGTTCCAAACGCCCGCCACGAATGGACGACCGTTCCTCTAATCGATTCATTGGCCCTAGCAATTATGAAAGGAACGGGGATCGCGTATTTGAAGCGGCTCGGTAGCGGTGATTGGCAGATGCCTACGGGAAAACTCGTCCGAAATCGATTTTCAAGTCACTGAGAACGGAGGCTTTTTCTTCGCAGGATTTTGACCGTTTCACTCCGTTCTTTCGCCATTTCCCCACTATACAGTGCCCTACTAGCATTTTAGGCTAAGTAGGACACCATCGTGCCGACTGTCTTTAAGGAAGCATGTGGTATACAATACCCCAAAAACGTCTCTGCCCCGTGAACTGTAGACGTATCCTAGCTACCCAGTTTCGAGGTATTCGATCAGTATGTATTACACTATACGCCTTTGCACAGCCCACTTGATGTACGTTTCATCGTTGACTCGGACTCGTGCTCGTACGGATGTTTTTGTAGCGGTTCAGCAATTGGAAACCAGCGACGTTTCTCCGCTTCACCGGGTTTCTACCGAGGGAGAAACACCTGGGGCACCCTCACCCGTAGACCGCATAACCCGCTCGCAACCCCGGACACTGGATGCCGTTGACCTGGACTCGCAACGCCGGTGCCATGCTGAATAAGCCAGATCCTTGTATGGGTGCCCGCGCATGTCACCCAGCCTGCAACGCCACGACCAAGGAAGTAACGCTCCACATCTTTTTCCTGTTGCCAGCAGGCCACTTCAAACCCCCCACGCCAAGCCGACTTCCCTGCCCCCCACATGCTCGATCCATAAATGGCGTGTTGTCCGCACTCCACTTACGGCCAGCCGTGGACTTGTACCTTCACGAACCTAAGAAACACTCGGCCAATCACTGCCCGTCTGTATATTTTTCTGCAACATGAATAGACGGGAAGTGAGACGTGTCTTCTTGAAAGACTGGAGCATCTTTCTGAGCAAGGATTAGCAATGCAATTCATTCTTTATTAGCCATATGGCTCCTAATGGAAGCCCAATGACAAGTCTAAATCTTTGATCCACGCAGTCAACAGATTAGTTCCTAGTTCTCACGTTCTACTCTTTGCTCGAGACCTACTTCGTAACTGTTTCACAAAACTTCTGTTAGTTACTGAAACCCTGATTCGATTCGTTCATGAGCTGTTCCTGCTGTATCAGTTCCTTCCTGCGACTGATTTCACAACATACAACAGTTGCACCATTTCCCAACACATATTTTCTAGGAGCAGAAAAGCGTGCAAGTGGTGTAGTGGCTAACCCACTTTCCACGTGCGCAGTCCGGGAATCGAACCCTGGACCAGTTCCTGCACAGCTCGACCAATCTGCTCTCTCTCCCTGCGAGGCTAGAAATTGACATCAGACTCCTCTCTAGGAATGAAATCGCTGCCTTATCGTCCTTCTCGGTACCCATTGCAAAGAACGCATTTGAACGCACGGTCTGCACTAACAATAAGAGCAGGATAGTGGTGTTGAAATATGGAAGAGAGAAGTTCGAGGCACTCATTCATGAACCCAAAAAGGAAGGTCGGAAATGCCTCTAATAGGAGCCCTCTAACCTCAAGCACTTGTCGCGGGCAGTAGACCGTGAGTTGGGGCGTGTTCTGTCAGCTGATTTCTTGTAATGAACTTCGCGACCCCACAAGGAACAATGGAGATTATACACTACTCTAACGGTAGCATCGCTTTTCGCTGAAAGGTGAGCTTTGAAGGCGGATGTAGAGGTGGAGTCACTGAAAAAAAGAGAGGTGCCACTGGAGCAACCCTGCGCTTTAACTCGTTCACCTCACCACTTTCTGCCGCAAAACTGGCACACGACCGTCCACTGCGGACCGCACTGCGTTCCCACGCAATCTTTCAGGGCAGGTGAAACGCCTTTTACACTTCAAGTGAAATCTCGGATCGGCTCCCACCCAGACCAGCCAAGCCTTCCAACCTCCGTGGGATGGTAAACTGGTGCATCCGCCTGGATCCTGAAGAGATGTGAATTGTACAGCGGCTGGCCCTTGCAGTTCATTGTATAGGCCACACTTCATTAAACAAGCCGCTGTGGCGCTAAATGGAACCAGATTACGTGCAGTATCCTAGAAAATAAGACTGAAATCGGCGTAGACTCTGCACTCTGCCCTTTATTCTTTCAAAGTGGCCGAATGGCGTAAGTTCCACGTTAGAGGGGCTTTGACATATGCGAAATACTGCAACCAATTTCGAATACTTTAATTAAACATAACAAAAGATAATGTGAAACAACAGTCGACACATCGTAACAAGAACAGTAGCAAACGGTTCGCTTAGTCTGACAAGTAGGACAAAGGCAATAATAAAACAACATAACAAAGGCAATCAGTAGATCATTTTTGTAAAACTAGCAAGTGATAAAATTTCAGAGGATACAAAATCTATCGCACTAATCTACTCCTAAGTGATATCAAAGACATATTCCGCGATCATAGCACGGGAGGGAAATGGGCGGGGATTCATAACGATTAACCCTTCGTCCATATCGCCTTTTCGCAGCAACAGAGTGGAGCGCACCACTGCGATAAGTTCAACAGTTAGGAGTCGCTGCCAACCCAAGAATCGCAGAATATGCCTTTAAGTGGGCATTTAAGCTAATAGAACAATAGAAGTAACAGTTTCTTCCTAAAGGGTATGAGAACACCGCTGCTCTGATGAAAAGCTGGAGCAAGGCGAAAGACCCGATATGTGTGACAGCTAAGGTGGCTACGGCAAAAGACCTAGCAAACATTGAATAATGAAGTCTATGGTCAGGCCTCGCACGGGCTTTCTATACCTTGCTACCACTTAGCGCTACCTCAACTTCTTCGAACAAGAGACACAGCCCTATTCGCTGTGTACACTGAGGCATGTCGTGGGAGGGGGTGGGGAGTAAAATTTGGCAGGGAGCCAGCCCTTCTCCAACTTCGTCAATTGTGGTCGCCTGCAGGTTCTACAACTGCTGAAGAACGGGCTGGCACCTTACAAAACTTCAGCCCTGACACGCCTCAGTGCCCGCAACAAACAAGACTGTACCATAATCTGCTTCTCGTTCCCACACCCAACTTCTCTGCGCCGTATGCTCACATAATGTTCAGAGCCCACAGGGTGCATATTGAGGGTTCTCATAGGTTCGATTCGCACTGTTATCCCACCCCCTCCCCCACCACACGGACTTATAATTCTCAGCCCTACGACCTCCAAATCGTTACCGCGAGGCGCCTTCCAAATATTCAAGATGACATTGTTATTCAAAAGAGAAGTCACCGATTTCTCAAGTGCTATGCTACTAAAACACCACTACTAGTAAAACCACATAACGCTAGCAATTTATCAACTGTTTTCTAAGTCTCTTTGAGCAGTTCTATATATAGACAAATTTGGAAGTGTTCAGTGTTATTATGGAATCCAAATCGCCATGAGAAAGCAGTCAATCATGATTAGCCGGAATTTCGATGTTCTTCGTCATCTCATCAAAAGCCAGCTTATCCACGTACGCTTTCCTGTCAAGAGAAATCAGCAGAGGCCTCTTACGGACAAACGCCGTCGCCAGTGGGATCCAGACCTCAAAAAGGAAAACTTGGATACAAGAAACAATTGGAAAAACCTAAAATAGCAAATTTCTGTCTCTCATACGTCTTGATGAAGCTGGGGTTTGGACGTTCGAACATTGTGCAGACTCATATTAGCTGTTCATATACGATGCCAGCAAGCATTTGTTGATTGCTTGATGACGAACGCTTAACAGGTACGTATCTACGTAATGTCCAACCATTAGACAACAAACTATTAACGCAATCTTATATAAAAGAAGTAGAAGCTGTGGCTTAGAAGGGGTGGAGAACATTGAAAAGTTTAACTAATTCCTTCTGTCAGCACATGACAATTAAATTGTGAACCTCTGTGAAGCTGTAAAATAGTGCGAGTGAGTCTCTTCCGCTACAGAAATTAAGAGGTCTCACAGCGGTAATCTGCAACAAGCTTTCCAAACTCAGTACCATTTTTGGTGCCCCACCAAACGAATTGCTCCAAAAAATACATTACGGATCGGTACAGACCGTTTCTCTCTCGGACGTGCCTCATTTTGATGCGTAACGACCATCTCATAGCCTTTGGAAGTGCCAAGGCCATTGTCTTCGCGTAGAAAGGAAATTATAGTAGCAAGATGTAACAGTGTCTGAAACACATACAAGTCAACACAAGCGACACTGAAGAACGAGAATTGATGACGGGGCGCTTGGTGGGCAGAGCGTAACCTAATCCTTGGAAGGCGTTCAGCTTCTGAAGATGACGATAGTCAAAACGCTCGGCCATAATTAATCAGTGTTCCACCTCGTAGGGCACAAAACATAACAAAGAACTTACAAATAAGTGTAGCATAAGATAAGCAAAGTTAATAGCTACCTTTGTGTCGTGATTGTAGTAAAGGTTTATAGGAAACCTTTTGGCTAAGAAATGCAGCAGAAGTGGAGTGAAGGACAACAGAACAAGGAATGTGTTCGCAACTGAAAGAAGAATCATTAAAATGAAAAACTCACTAGCAGCTAAAAAAACAGACAAGTGAGAAAGTAAGGGGAGGGAGTTGCAGAAAGCAGTGAGGTGTAGTCTAGTTCGCTGCGGACGAAGGGGCGTGTCAGGCGGGATGAGTTCGGCGCAATTGTTGTCGAATACCAGCTTCAACAACTGGCAGCGAACGGGTTTGGCGCCGTGGCGCACTCGTACGCCTGACACGCCCCTTTACCCGCAGCGAACTAGGGCATACCTCGTCTTTCGCTTAAAGGTTCATTACGCCCGATGGAGTACGTGAACCTTCAAGATCTGATCAGTCATAAAAGCTAGATGTCAAACGTGATGGGAGCGTTGAAAAGGAGACAAAAGTTCTGTCTTGTTCTCTGCGGATACGACGGCGTCTTATGGGCGAATGCTGGGGCTAGGGGGAGGCCTGGGTTCGGCACGCATGAGTCCTCTCCACCAATTGTTGATCTGGGGAAGCGACAAGACTGTATCATATTGTTCGTAGCAGTTGTTTTCACTAATTGCTGCCGCTTACCAGCTTCACAAATGGTGGATAATGGGTTTCGCGCCAGTTAAACCCAATTCGCCTGACATGCCCCTTCATCCGCACCGAACAAGATTGTAAAATCACTAAGAGATGTACAATATCATATTTAGCCTCTGATGAAGCAAGCTGCTAATCAAATAATGGACATACCAACAGTGAACATCATCATAGATGGCCTTTCCGTAGCCGCTTCCCATAGATAAGATGTCAGTACAGGCACCATTACCGCACCCACCGCTGAAGAAGACAGAGAGAGTACCTAGGTGAGAAATATGAGACATCTCTGAGAGAGAGAGGAATCTTCAGTGGCATACCTTAGCTATGAACACCCCACTGGCTACCATGTCATGAGGAGTTCGTGGCGATCCTGGAGGAAGCGTCTGCTTACAGAACAGAATCGAGTGCCCTAGCTCATCTGGCTTTAATGACGATAAGGGAACTAGACGTGATGATGGCTTCGCATTTGCTGAAAACGCTGATTCGTAAAATATCGAAAATAAAAGGCGTGAAGCCGAAATCAAGTGAACTAAACACCAATTCAAGATTCCCTTGTATAAACCAAAAAAGCGTTTTTAATAATCCTCTTTATTGTCGACGACAATCCCTTTTTTGATGTAACTGCTTGGCCCCTCCTTTATCGAATAGTTTTTAGGAAGAATGGCATCCCCCATAGAAAGATGTGCAGTGGGGACGAGAAAGTGATGAACAGAGCGAGAATTCAGAGGAACGGCCCTGACGAGAGGCAGCGCTGAGCGTTACGGTCTGGATATCCCAGACGTTCACCAAGGTTTCATTTGGATCTGCACGTATGCGCAACTAACTCTCAGTTAACAATAATTTTATCAGCCGACCGTTCCAGAGGGTCGCGAATCATTGTGGGCGAGCTAAACCTGAATGTCTTGAAAAATGTTTTTGCGCAGTTCGGCTTGGAAAGGACATTTTGCTGATGTCGTTATTGGCTGCGATGTCTTCTGTAGACACCTGTACATTCCTATGAAGCTTTGCAACAGCATGAGCTTCGTTTACACTTGACAAGAGTTTGCAGGTCTTACAAG